GAACTCCCATAAAACAAAAAGCCAGGATAAGATGAACTCACAGATAAATTTTACCAGATATTTAAAGAAGACTTAATATCAATCCTTTACAAACTATTCAAAAAATAGAAGAAAAATAGGAGGGTGCCAGCTGTCTCAGTTGATAGACTCAGGGTCATGAGTTCCAGCCCCATTTGTGGCATAGAGTTTACTTTCAAAATAAGAAAAAGAAAAACAGAAGGAATGCTTCCAAATTTATTTTATGAAGCCAGCATTACCCTGATAGCAAAACCAAACAAAGACACTATTTTAAAAAAAGGAAATTAAAGACCAGTGTCCTTGATGAACATAGATGCAAAAATCCTCAACAAATATTAGCAAACCAATTCAAAAATACATTAAAAGGATCATTCATTGTGATCAAGTGGGATTTATTCCAGGGATGCAAGGATGGTTCAATATATGTAAGTCAATCAGCATGATACAGCACTTTAATAAAATGAAGGATGAAGATCCTTTGATCATCTCTGTTGGCAAGGATACAGAGAAAGGGAAATCCTTCTGCACTGTTGGTGAGAATGCAAACTGGTGCAGCCACTCTGGAAAACAGTATGGAGGTTCCTAAAAAAGTTAAAAATAGAACTACTCTATGACCCCACAATTACACTACTAGGTATTTATCCAAAGGATACAAAAATGCTGATTAGAAGGGGCACATGCACCCCAGTGTTTATAACAGCACTATCAGCAATAGCCAAATTATGGAAAGAGCCAAATGTCTATCGACTGATAAATGGATAAAGAAGATGTGGAATATTACAATGGAATATTACTCAGCAATCAAAAAGAATGAAATCTTGCCATTTATAACAATGTGGATGGAACTAGAGTGTTATGCTAAGCAAAATAAGTCAGTCAGAGAAACACAGATAGATACCGTATGATTTCATTCATATGTGGAATTTAAGAAACAAAACAGATGAACATAGGGGAAAGAAAGGAAAATTAAATAAAAACAGAGAGGGTGATAAACCATAATAGACTCAACTATAGAGAACAAACTGAGGGTTGCTGGAGGAAGGTGGGGGGGGAGGGGGATGGACTAAATGGGTGATGGGCATTAAAGAGGGCACTTGTTGGGATGAGCATATGTAAGTGATGAACCTCTAAATTCTCCTGAAACCAATATTACACTATATGTTAACTAATTTGAATTTAAATGAATAAAAAAGATTATATGATCATCTCAGTAGATGAAGAAAAAAACATTTGACAAAATTTAACATCCATTCATAATAAAAACTCTCAACAAAGTGGGTATAGAAGGAACAAACCTAAACATAATAAAAGCCATTTATGACAAACCCTTAGTTAACATTATACTTAATAGTAAAAAGCTAAAAGCTTTTCCTCTAAGATTAGGAGCAAGACAAAGATGTCCACTCCTATCACTTTTAATAACATTGTAGTGGAAGTGCAAGCACAGAAATCAGACAAGAAAAAGAAATAAAAGGCATCCAGATGGGAGAAGAAGAACTAAAATTATCATTACTTGTAGATGACATGCTTTATATATAGAAAACCCTAAAGACTCCACCAAAAAATTATTAGAAGTAATAAATGAATTCAGTAAAGTTGCAGGATACAAAATCAACATATAGAAATTTGTTGAATTTCTATACAATAACAAAATAGCAGAAAGAGAAATTAAGAAAACAATCTCATTTATAATTGTATCAAAAAGAATAAAATACCTAAGAATAAATTTAATAAGGAAGTAAAAGACCTATATTTGGAAAACTATAAGGCATTGATGAAATAAACTGAAGATGACACAAATAAATGGAAAGATATACCATGCTCATGGATTGGAAGAATTAATGTTGTTAAAATGTCCATGCTACCCAAAGTGATCTACAGATTCAATGCAAAACCTATCAAAATGCCAATAGTATTTTTCACAGAACTAGAACAAACTAGCCTAAAATTTGTATGGAACCACAAAAGATCTTGAATAGCCACAGCAATCTTGAGAAAGAACAAGGCTGGCAGTATCACAATCCCAGATTTCAAACTATAGTACAAACTATAATAATCAAAACAGCATGGTACTGGCACCAAAATAGATATATAGATCAATGGAACAGAATGGGGAGCCCAGAAATAAACTCATGCTTATGTGGTCAATTAATCTATGACAAAGGAGGCAAGAGTATATACAATGGAGAAAAGACAGTCTCTTTAGGGGTGCCTGGGTGGCTCAGTCATTAAGCGTCTGCCTTCGGCTCAGGTCATGATCCCAGGGTCCTGGGATCAAGTCCCGTATCCAGCTCCCTGCTTGACGAGAAGCCAGCTTCTCCCTCTCCCACTCCCCCTGCTGTGTTCCCCCTCTAGCTGTGTCTCTCTCTGTCAAATAAATAAATAAAATCTTAAAAAAAAAAAAAAAGACAGTCTCTTTAATAAATGGTGTTAGAAAACCTGGACAGCTACATGCAGCCTACACCATATGCAAAAGTAAACTTAAAATGAATTAAAACCTAAATGTAAGACCTGAAACCATAAGACTCCTAAAAGAAGACATAGCAGTAAATTCATGGTATATAGGTATATATACATAATGGAATATTACTCAGCCATAAAAAAGAATGAAATGTTGCCATTGTGGATAGACCTGGAGGGTGTTATGCTAAGTGAAATAAGTCAGAGAAAGACAGATACCATATGATTTCACTTATATGTGAAATCTAAGAAACAAAACAAACAAATAACAAAATAGAAACAGACTCAGAACAAACTGGTGATTGCTGAAGGAGAGGAGATTAGGGTTAGGTGTAATGGGCGAAGGGAATCATGAGGTACAAACTTCCAGTTATAAAATGAAGAAGTGACAGGGATGAAAAGTATAGCATAAGGAATATAGTCAGTAATATCATAATAACTTTGTATGGTGACAGAGGTAGTAACTGCACTTATCATGGTAAGCATTTAGTAATGGCTATAATTGTCAAATCACTATGTGATACAGCTGATACTACTATAATATTATGTGTCAACTATACTAAAATAACAATTATTAAAAATGTAAAAATATATGAAGAATTTAAAAAATAAAAATTTAAAAAATGCTCAAAGGATCCTCATGGTGTTAGAAGTCTTTGATAAAGGACCAAAGGGTTGAATTTACAGTAGGCAAATTTCAGTTCAAAATGAGGAGGATCTTTATAATGATCAGAGCAATGCCCAGAATGCAATGAACTGCCTTGTGAGGTGCAGTGTTTTCTGTTATTTAAAAGAGTTTAAGCAGAGGTTTAAAAATGTACTGGATGATGGTAGAGGTTCTCATAAAATTCATGATGTGAATCTGTGCATTAAAAACTTAACAGTCACTTAAAGCATTGTTTCTTTTTTTTACACTATTCTCTGCATTAACTTATGGTATCACTGCCCTTGTTATTTTAGGGTAAACGATGAGAAAATTAGGATATTAAAATAACAGCAAAACACCAGCAGTCAGGGCTACCCCATGCATTCCTCAAGTAATGAGTTTACTTACACTCATGGGGATGGTGCTGTGAGACCTCTACCGTATTTACTTATGGTTCTCTCCATAAGCATTGATTGCACGTCTGCCATGTGCCAGGCAGGTACTGTGCCAGGGCCTAGGATCCAACGATGAAAAACACATGGTTCCTCAGGATGCAGTTTTATTTGAGGTTATAACCCATATAGTGTGATATTTCTTAATGCTAAAATGAATTTTTGTTGTAAACGTTCTTGATTTAATGCTGCCGCATGTTGTCGGATGCTTTGATGTCCTTAGATGAGAGTTGTTTGAGTATATATATACCTTGATGAACCACCTGTAATATATGACTTTCAGTTCAAATCTTTCAGTGTATTCAAGTTAAGAAAGTGGCTTTATTGCATTCTATTTAAGTGAGGTAGAAAACAAATAAGTGTGTATTTGTTATAAGCATCTTCCCCAATGCTGCTGTCTTTGAATATCTAGCAGGTTTATTCAGTACTTATTCTAAGGTATCTTTTTATCTTACAAGTTGAACTGGTGAAATTTAAATTCTGAAGAAATCTCTGATAATTAGAGGCCCTTTGATCTGGAGTATTCCACAGTTAATGTGTGAGCAGATGTTGGCCTGCATTAAGCATTAAGATTAAAAAAAGAGATAAATGGAGGTTAATTTTGCAGGAGGCTTTAGTGGTATCCAACCAGTTCTTTGGACTTCTGCTTGGACATGAGGCAACTGGCAAATTAAGTGCCAGTTTTATTTGCTCCTCAACTGCTTTGCAACTAACTACCACTTTCTTTGTATTTTTTAGAAATTAAATCAAGTCTTTTAAAAAAAGCAATCTCTAAAGTTGCTTTTAATTTGCTAAAACCAGCGAAGTCCATCTGTGTTTAGGAAGGGCAGGGCCAGGGGGGGTTAGTCCTTGACCAAGCCCGTACTACTACTTTTGGGACTGAAGTGTGATCCTTTTGAACAGAAGAACAGGGAGATTAATTCCCTGATGGAGAACAGCACGGCCCTTTAGCAAGGTGACCACATCTTCATTGTTGCTTGTTGCTTAGGTTTGGCTGTCTAATCTGTATTTTGAGGATTCAAGGATACGAGTCCTGTTCTTAGAAAGATTCATATCCACTTTTTTGGAATACTCATCTCCTTTAACAGATAGGACAGCACAGTTGACTGTAGATTACTTTACTTCAGGATGTCCAGCAACTGTTTTAAAACAATAATGATAGCTTATGACTATTTTCTTGTAAAGTGTGTTAGCACTGAGGCAGAGCTGCTCTTGGTGAAACCCACACTCACTCATGAAAGATACAACTATAGGAAATCAGACAGAGCAGTCCAGCTTAACAATTAAACAGCAAAGTTTATCAAGCAGCAAATGAGTTTATTTATTTTGGGGACATTGATTCATTTATCGGTTCACTGCAGAGGAGGTGGGAGGGATTGGGAAACCCCCTAGAGCAGCAGAGGGGTTGAAGCCTGTCCTCAGGGCTACTTCTCAGTCAGAACACAGGACATGATGGACAGAAAGTTGTCCCAGGCAGTATGGGCAGTTGCCCGCAAAATCTCAGGGAAGTACAAGGTGACCATGACTAGCAGACAGTGCGACAGGCGCTCAATGTTGATTGGGTCCACCTGCAGGATATGGGCATGTATCTCTCTCAGCTCAAATAGGACACACGCTATGTTGGCCTGCTGGTGTCCCTGTTGCCCCTGGCGACCCCCAGCCTGGAATCCTCTGTGCATAGATGTGCACAGCTGGCTGCAGGTCAAAGTGCCTGGAGCAGGCATAGCTGGGGGGAACATCTCCAGGACCTCAGCACCCCTGGGGCCCTCCTGTGTGTAGACCTTATTCCACAGGATGATGATCCTCTCAGCCTCTGTCAGAGACATGATGGTGACTGACTTGGTGGCAGAGCAGCAAATGAGTTTACTCAGAATAATAGCAGAGGAATTACAATTCAGGACATGCAAACTATGGCAAACCATAGGCAAGGGCGGAGGACAAAGGAGGAGAGCATCCTTTTATAGAGAGGAAAGGAGAAAGTTGGCAGTGGTTGTTTTGAACAAAAGTTCATTGGAGAAAAACGAGAGTTGGAAGTGGTGGTAGCTTGTCATTGGCCGTAGGCTAGGCCAGCTTGCTGTTTCCCGGCTGTGAGGAAATCTTCCTTCTTCCTGCTGGACTGTTAAGTTGTCAGGACTGGTAGCTTGAGAGCTTTCTCTTCATGGTTTCCTGACTCCATTTTGTTTTTTATTTTTTATTTTTATTTATTTATTTTTTTAAATTTCTTAGAGAGAGAGAGTGTGTGTGAGAGCAGCGGTGGGGGGGGGCGCAGAGGGAGAGGGAGAGAAAGAATCTTCAGCAGGCTCCTTGCTCAGCATGGAGCCCCAAGACACAGGGCCCGATCTCACGACCCTGACATCATGACCTGAGCCAAAATCAAAAGTGGAATGCTCAACTGACTGAGCCACCCAGGCGCCCCCGATTCCATTTTGAATGAGGTTTCCTTTATTCATTTTCACAGAATATAGTAACAACAGTGAACTGGTATCACTAGATTATATGATACCCTCCTTCCTGCTTATGAAATTCAGGAAGAATGTTTTTTTCAAAGCTGTGTCTGTCTATATTAGTGGGAACAGAAATATCAGATGCCTTCAGCAGTTGCTGGGATTCAAGAAGAATCATGAATCCCTATTTTTCCAGTCCTGGTGACCCTTAAGTAGGGGTGGCTGAAATATCCATACCTGGTGGCTTTAGAGGAGTTCCTTCTAATGATACTCTTGCCTGGTGTGTGGTATTTTCTTAATGCTAAAGTGAACTTCTGTTGTAAACTTTCTTGATTTAATGCTGCCCCATGTTGTCAGAGGCTTTGCCTGGTGTGTGATATTTTCTTAATGGGAAGCACCTTCACTGTCCTCCCTACTGTCACATCTGGATCCTGGCTCTTGGAGAAGACAGACCTGTGGCTTTACTCACAATAGCAGGAACTCACATTGCTGTATTTAATAATTTTGTGCAGTATTTAACAGTTTTGTCCAAAATGAGCAGAGAGTACGAGCAGACTCGAAAGGATCCATTTTACCTTTGGTATAATATATATATACACATATATGTTACATGTTATATATATGTATATGTGTGTATAAGTTTTCATCTAAGGCAGGACAGAGAGGGATCATGCACATAAGTCTCCAAGACTGACTTCAGTATGTAATGAAGCATGTTCAGTACTGGTGTCCTTACCAGGTGGCCTCATACATTCAGCATCCTTTTCTGCTCACATCACACAGCATTGTACTGTCAACCCAGGTCAGTTTCAATGCCACACATTTCTGAAGGCCAACTGAGACTACAGAATCATTGCCAGGAATCTTCAAGTGCCATTCCTGTATGTAGGGAGTCATGAACTATTAATGTGAAGGATGGAGCTAGAAACACTGATGCTATTTTGCATCATAATTAAGAAAATTCTCCAGTCCTGCAAAGTCAGTATAGTTTCCTGTCTAATGATTCTTAATCACTTTCTATGGCCTTACTATAGCCCTGTACCTTTGTATTTTTCTCAAATTCTACTTCAGACTGTTGGAAATCGAATCTGGCCAAAGTATTTTCTTCTTTTAATAGTTTTCAGATGTCCTGCATATGATATGGCCAAGATAAAATATGAATGTGTCAATAATAAAAACTGTTCACAAGCCATCAGTATAAATGCCTTGCTCATAAGTGATGAATTCTAGGGAGGAAATCATGCTATTATTTCAAGAGGCTCTGACTGTTCTGTTCTCCCAGTTGGACAGGAATCAGTCTGGACTCCTGTAAAGCAAAATATACATTCTTATTCTAATAACGAAGTGAATCAAAGAAGCTTTAAAACATCAAAATACCAATTGGAGCTGGCATTCAGTAAATTAAGGTCCACATCTACAGGTGTTCAAGATATCACCTTTGGGTATAATAGCTCCTGCAGTTACAGTAAAGCATTCAACAAAAGACTCCCATTTAACATCCTTGATGATGAATCTAAGTAAGACATCGATAATGGCTTAAGAAAAAAGCACCAGCCAAGAGACTAGATTAAAATACACAAATGAATTAATGGCTATTAATGATAGTGTTACTTCTAAACTCAGACCAACCAAGGCCCCGGGCCAATGAGAGCCAGAGGGCTGCTCATTAGTGAGTGGGGTCTGGAAGCAGTGTTTCTTCCATACCTCTGATTACACTGAACCTTAATGCCCTTGTGAGGCCTAAGCCACAGCCTTCCTTAAACTTTATGAGCATGGCAACTCTGCTTGCCTGGCCCAACTCCTAGGTTCTGTTGCCTAGCTACCTTCTTTAACTCTTTATTCCTAGATGACTTTCTTACCCAGTTTCTGTGTAACCATTTTCCGTTCAGCCAGACCTTGCTTCTTGCCTCCCTTGCTGGTCTCCTTCTGGGCTTCCAGCATTAGCTGGACATTCATACCATTGCCAGCTAGAGCCAAATACCTCAAAACCCAGATAAGATGACCCCCTAAAACCCCTCAGATCTGTCTTCTCTTTGACTATTGAGTCTGACCCAGATGGGATTGAGGTTCCTTACCCTCCCTAAACATTTGTTTTGATCTAGCAACTCTTCCCAGCTTTAATGTGGAGCCTGACTTGGTACTGGATTAGTCTTTTCTCCTGGGCAAGACCTTCTATCACAGCATGGTCTTGGTTAACCATGAGACCTAGAAGTGGATTGCATAACACAAAGAGAGCTTTCCAAGTGATCTAGTACATTTCAAATGTTCTTACAGATGAGAAACTCCAGAAGGTAACCACTAACATTCTGTTTGCAGATTCAAGACTGTGGCAAACTTAAGAAGATATGCCTTTCAAATCCATTAAATTATAAACCGGGAGTGTGTTATAGAAATCATATCATGTAGGGGGCCCAAGTCCTTCTGATCAAGAAAAAGAAGTCACATCATGTGGAATTAGTTAATCTTTATTATTCTCTACTATCTTTTTATGAAAGGGGCAGGGAGAGGCAGAGGGAGAGAGAGAGAGAAGCTTAAGCAGGTTCCATGCCCAGTACAGAGTGTGTCAGGGCTCTATCCCATAACCCTGAGATCATGACCTGAGCTGAAATCAAGAGTCGGTTGCCTAACTAACTGAGCCACCAGGCGCCCCTATTCTCTTAAATAAAATATGTGAATTGGATGTATTCAGCTGGCATTGAGCAATGCATCTCAGATAAATTTAGCAATAGCCATTTAATGATTCTATTGCAATGAATGCCAGATGAATTTGATTCTAGTCATAGTTTATTAATAATCAGAAAAATAATTCACCCCAAGGCATTTTGTTAAAGTTCATAAAGTTTATATAACCACAGATGACATTGCCGAAATTGCAATGTGAATGTACAGAGTGGTTTTTTCACAGAAAAGTTCCCACCTAATCCTGTGAGAGGCCCAGGTAAACTTCTCGGAAAGGGAAGCAGTTCACAGAGAGAATGAATGGTCAGCTTAATCACCCTAAGGGATCAAGTGTATAAAGTAGCCAACATATATACCTGGTTATTAATTAAGGAAATTGGATCTTACAAGTAGGATCTATGCTATGACTTTTGGACCCCACTAATTCATGACTTTATTTGAATATTAGAAAAGTATCTTTTTAAAAAATATTTTATTTATGAGAGAGAGAGAGCACATGAGTGTGCAAGCTGGGGAGAGGGGCAGATGGAGCAGGAGAAATAGGCTCTCCACTGAGCAGGGAGCCGAACTGGGGGCTCAGTCCCTGGACCCCGGGATCATGACCTGAGCCGAAGGCAGATGCTTAACCAACTGAGCCACTCAGACACCCCTAGAAAAGTATCTTTTGTTTAAAGAAAGAATTGATGGCCCAGCTCTGAAGGTGGTATAAGGTAAAACAGTGGTCCTTCAGTGTCCCAATGCATGACAATCACCTAGAGAGCTTATTTAAAGAGCAGCTATCCAAGACCTTCTGTGGGAGATTCCAGCTAGGGAGCTTTGGGGTGAGGCTCAGTAATCCACATTCTAAATGATCACCCAGATGATTTTAGTACTGATTTCATGAAACCCACTTTGAAAAACTGGGGGAAGAACATAGATTTTGAAATCAGACAGAAGGTGTCAAGTCCTAGTTGAAGCACTTACTTGTTTGTAGTCTTAGTCAAGTTAGGACACTTTCTGAGTTTCAGTTTCCTCATCTGTAAAATGAGGATGTAATACTCTCATGGGATTGTTGCGCATATAGAATGAAATGTGTGTAAAAAGCACACAGAACATACACTAGGTGCTCAACAAATGTTAGTTTTCTACCTGAGGTCCTTGGTGGCTTATAGCAGAGATGTAATGATAGGAGGAAAGTTTGAGGGAAACTCTAAGTCCACTATTATACCTGACTATGTCATCTATTGCTCAAACACGGACACTACTGAGAGTGAAAGGAGATGCTGTTAATCATCGTGCTGAGACAACCAGGATAACCCCAGGACTGTAGTTACCCTCATTATTAGTAACATGAAAGACCACATAATTGCACTGCCTTACCCCACTCTATTCTATATTCTTAAACTGAGAGAACAGGATGTGGTCTTTGCAGTTGTTCACTTGACAAAAGCTTTTCAACCACTGTTGGTAATCTTGCAGTCGGAATCTGTCCTTAATGCACTTTTACTGTCTCTGCAGTGCCTAGTATTAGTACCATGTACTAAATAAACAGTAGGTTCCTCAGAAAATAATTTTGAATGCTTAAGTGATTTAGATTCCATGTTGTTAATCCAATTATTCCCAGATAATTCTAAGTCAATTCCCATTTTCTGTTATATCTGAAAATTTCCAAAGTACCCAAATAATGAGGAACAGCACAATTCTATTCAAATTCCTTTTTTTTT